GAAAAGAAGGGAGATAGAGAGAAAAAAGGTGAAAAAAAAACCCGAAGTAGTGATTGGGATACAAGAAACGAGGAGGAAACACGATGACATACAAGTCTAGACATCGACTTATATTTAAAATGTTAACTCCTATTCAAATAGGAATAAATTACATAATGAATTAAAATCTTTAAAGTTAAGAAAGCTATTTTAATGTTGTAGATTAAAGAAATTTTAGAATTTAATATTAATATTATTTAATTTTAATATTATAAAAAGGAATTTAATATTAAAATAATAAAAGCTAATTAAAACATTATTAGTATGTAAACAAGATAGACCAGAATATTAATATTAATAACTAGCAGTAGAGCCCGGCGTTGCCCGGGAATATAACAGTAAGAGATAGATCAAGTATCGACCATCATAAAGACTGAAAAATAAAATTGACAAAGATTATTGTTTAAGGTTGATGGACACGCATGTCTTAATTAATTTTTTTTTTTTTTTTACGAATTGTTCAAACCCAAACTCAAACAAAAACATTGTTTTCAATCGTTATGGGTCTACCGATTGAATAGAATTTTATTATAAACAATTGTCATGTAAATAGAATTTTTAAAGCATTCTGAATGTAAAAATAAAGAAAATGTGTGCAAGACAATAAGAAACACTACCTACCCCCAAAAAAGTGAAGTTTTGTTGAAATCGGTTGAAAAATGTAGTAAATCTGATCCCATATATAAACGAACACAGACACACACAAACAACCTGGGTTTTATAATAAGTATAACTCGATATGAGATGTTCCCCTTTCATTCTGGCGACTTAATCGTGTTTTCAAATTGATTTCGTGCAAAAACAATTGTGTTTTTCCAATTTTTGGCGCTGTCAGAACCACCGCAAGGTAATTTTACGTAGTCCTGTGAAGTTTTGTTGAAATCGGTTGAAAAATGTAGGAAATCCGATCCAATATATAAACGAACACACACACACACACACACACACACGCAATCTGCGTTTTATAATAATTAAGACTAAATAATAAAAGAATTATAATAAGTAGATAAGTAAGGTCTCCACAAAACATTTTACAATAAAAGGGAATAAAATTATGTAGGTTAATAGATTAAAATTTAGATTAAATTATAGATTAAAATATAAAAGTATCTGTCTATATTTCTGAGATGAGGTATTATGTACATTATTTACATTATTCGGACTATTGCCATCATCTTTGTCGCCATAATTATTACATAGTTTCGGCTGTTGTATGCTCCGGCCTTCTTCAGGTGGCTGAAATGTCGAACTTAACCCTTTATTTCACACACTGGGGTAGACTGTTTTGTTCCACGTGCCATGTTTAATGGGATGTCAGTTATCAAGGACACATGGCACAGTGGATAAAGGCGTTGGTTAGATACAGTGACAGGACCCAAAGAATGTGAGTTCAATACCCGATTAAGGCAGAAGGAAATTAACAGGAGATAACTGATAACTGACATCCATTAAACATGGCACGTGGAATTAAACAGTCTACCTCATTGAACGAAATAAAAGGTTCAGTTCGACATTCCAAACAACTGAAAGGGCCGGAGCGTACAACGACCGAAACGTTGTAATAAATATGGCGACAAAGATGAGGACAATAGTCCGAATAATGTAAATAGTGTACATAATAACTCATCTCAGAAATATAGACAGATACTGAAAGGCCGAAAAGTTGCAATAAATATGGCGACAAAATGAGGACAATAGTCCGAATAATGTAAATAGTGTACATAATACCTCATCTCAGAAATATAGACAGATACTGAAAGGCCAAAACGTTGTAATAAATATGGCAACAAAGATGAGGACAATAGTCGGAATAATGTAAATAGTGTACATAATAACTCATCTCAGAAATATAGACAGATACTGAAAGGCCGAAACGTTGTAACAAATATGGCGACAAAGATGAGGACAATAGTCCGAATAATGTAAATAGTGTACATAATAACTCATCTCAGAAATATAGACAGATACTGAAAGCCGAAACATTGTAATAAATATGGCGACAAAGATGAGGACAGTAGTCCGAATAATGCAAATAGTGTAAAATATAAAAGATTAGATAGAATAATATATACTAAAAGATTAATTATACATTAAATTATAATATATTATACAGATTATATTTAGATTAAATTATAAATTAAAATTAGATAAAAATATAATGAAGCCTTAAGCAGAGGGAAAAATCAATATCAAATAACTTAGGACATAAAGTAAAATTGCCAAAAAGAGGCTAGCCATGAAACAGGTAATTAAAAGTAAATTTAAATATTCAATATACTTGCATACACATAACATAAAAAATTTAAATATTTTTTTTCATTATATTTTTTCTTTTTCTGTTATGTGCATTACCGTTCTGTCTACTTATTTTCAATAGGAAACTTTCATATTAGCGGATAAGCTTTCTGGTATCATTATTGAAGAACAAGACAAAAATTGGCGTGTTGATACATATTTCTTTTATTTCCGAGTACTTTCGACATAGCACAATGTCATCATCAAGATATTGTATTACAAGATAAATATTGTAGTGTTCATTATTGTCAAAGACAAATTTGTTGTGTTCATCTGAAATTTCTTACAAGTGCAGTGAGGAACGCCGCGTCAGTGCGTCATACATACATACACACAAACACACACACAGACATATATATAATATGTACATATATATATATATATATATATTATATATATATATATATATATATATATATATATATATATATATATATATATATATATAAAGTGTTTTATTTCTAATATGATCAATTAGAAATGCTGTTCTGAAGAGTTCATGTGTTAAGGTAAGTGTTTTGTTTCTAATATGATCAATTAGCAGTGCTGTTCTGAAGAGTTCATGTGCTAAGGTAAGTGTTTTGTTTCTAATATTAGTGTTTGTGCTGAGATGTATAATGTTTATCATCCGGTCGAAACATCTTCGATTCGGGTCTGATCTCAATAATAAGCATGAAGTTGTATGCTAATTGGGATTTTCAGTGAGAAAAGTAATGGTACAATCATAAATCTTTGAGTCAGAAACATGTGAGATTATGTGGGATTTTTTTAATACATATAGATAAGAAGCTGGAGCACAACAGGCCTGACATATTGATAGAAGACAAAATAAGAAAGGAAGGGCTCATCATTGATCCATTGTTTCGTTTTGATACAAGGGTAGGTCAAAAGGTCAGAAAGCAATCAACTATGACCCGTTGAACTTTGAAATTTCAAGACTTTGGAAACTAAAGAGGGTAATGTCAGTTAATATTGATGCAATGCGAATAGTGTCTGATAGAATGGAGACATAGATATAGAGATTTAGCATTGGTTTCTCAGTGGAAACGTTATAGAAACGAAGCCTTGTAGGATTGCTAATATGAATCCAGGCGGTGAAGAACACTTACAGACAGAAGAAAATTGCTTGATACCGAAGACTATTTATTGTAACACATTCTCCATGCAGTAATTACCAAATATGAGGATATAAGGTAATACTACTAATTTCAACGCTTTATAGAATTAATTAAATAATTTAATGACTACTTAAGTATCTTTTGCTATATAAAAAAAAACGATATATATTAAATTCTTCCGAAGCAGTTGGTATGACATTTTGGATCAATTTTCAATTTTAAAAACTCTTTTAGAAAATAATGCAGTTTTTTTAGCATCATTTCGATTTTGCCTAATATATTCTTAAATCCCGCCCGCCAATGTTTGATATTATCTACTAAAATACATAAACACAACAGCTGCAATTTTAAAATTTTAAAAACTTTCAATTTTTGCTTTCCTGTAAACAATTCACTTGAAAACAAGTTACATTGTTCTTACAAATTACGGATGTCAAATTTAAAGAAAAAAGAAAAAGATACAAATTTGTCGAGAGAACAGAAATTTTTTTGCAATTTTCGGCAATAACCAAAATCAAATCAAGTGAATGTATGCGACAAATATATGACGCAGATTATATACTTGAAGTTCTCTAATATTAACCGTGCGTGGCGTGACAGTGATCGGAGTTCAAAATGGGCTCGGAATGCCGAGTTCGAATCCAGGCCGAGTTACATGCATTCGCTTTCGGAAAAAAAAACCCCAAAAAACGTTTTTGTAAATGCATAAAAACATTTCTTCTCTCTACTCGGAAGGTACAGGTCTGATATCAGAGTCTGCCTTTATCCCCCACTCGATTGGCAACTAGCCTAGAACAACAACAAAACCGTTTGGACTTGGAGCTGACAAGCCCGCCCCGTAAAAACGTAATTACTTCAGAAACCACACCAGCGACATTTTGTGTGGTGAAGTTGTGAACTTGTTTTTCAGAGGAGGAGAAGACGTTTGTAACACAGAAGATTTTTCTGTGCTAATCCTGTATTTTGAGTTGGCATTCTTGAAAATCGGGATTATAATTTCTTTTTTTAACATAAACTTGAACACGTACAAACGCCATAGGGGAATATTTTTATTATTCTTACAATGATGTTTAACACTGTACAAGGCCCAGGAGCTACTCGAGATTGAGGCTTACAGAGTGCCGGGTACCACCCGAAGGAAGGCAATAATACCACCAAGACGCAAGAAGCTACCGGAATTGATAGAGAAGGAAAAGACTTTAGAAGAAACCGGAAAACGAATCCTAAACAGGAACCAAGGGAAAAACCTCCACACCTGTTCAAAAGACCAGGGAGGAGTATAAACCGGGATGATAGTTAAATTCAATATAGTAGTAATAGTGTTTTGAGATGAGGTTGTTAGCCATTTTTCTACTGTGTAATATCGACATTTATTCCCTACTGGATATTACCCATAACCTGCCTTAGGGGTTGCGTGCTGAATCAGGGATATATTTTATATTTAATTCTACATGTACGATAGATATTAACAGACTGATATATATATATATATATATATATATATATATATATATATATATATATATATATATATATATATAAACAGACTGAGATAGATAGATAGATAGATAGATAGATAGATAGATAGATAGAGAGATAGAGAGAGAGAGAGAGAGAGAGAGAGAGATTTTACGGCATATCAACCTCAATGGGTTATTTAATGCCGATAGGATTTTTATTACTTGTAATATTTTTGTTTCAATATATATTGCTGGTAAGATTAGCACCTGTTAGAGTCCCATATATTGGCAAATATTTAACCCCTAAACTGGTGGGGGGAACATCATGAAAGTGTAAAAATAGGTTTTAATACCAGTAATATATTTTTGTAAAAAAAAAATATTCCTAGCAATAAATTTTTGAAGAAAAAATTATTGCCATCAATTCATTATTACCAGGAATACTATTTTTGAAAAAAAAAATATTTCCAGCAATAAAAATTTTGTCGGCATTAAATAACCCATTGAGGTATGCCGTAAAACAAACCAAACCAAACCAATATATACTGATAGATAGATAGATAGATATCAACAGAATGAGATAGATAGATAGATAGATAGATAGATAGATAAAAAAATATTCCCAGCAATAAAAATAGTGTCGGCATTAAATAACTCATTGAGGTTGATATGCCGTAAAACAAACCAAACCAAAGAGCCCTTGGTATTACCAAGCGGTTACCCATCTAGGTATTGAACAGGCTTGCGATTGCTTAACTTCGATGATCGTGCGAGAACTTGAGTTTCAATGATCGTAAGCCACGTATTTCTCGAGAATCCATGGAGAGAATACAGAATTTAGAGCTTAAAAAAAAAAACCCCAAAAAAAAACATTATTTGCGTCTTGGTACATCAATTATACAAAAGATTTGTCAGTTCGTCGAAAGTAGCTTTTATTTTTCACGTGAAACAACTGAAAGCAGCGTCTGGTTAACATTGTTGAGGCGACTGATTCGAAAACACGAACCTCTTCAATAACGACTCAATCCTGTATAGTTTAAGAATTTGATTACAGCATACAACCCCTGCTTTTATTATTAAGAAATAGGACACACTTTATCATCATAGGCACCTACCATTATGAAGAAAACACTCGCTTTATTTGTAACAAAATCATTTTTTAACACGTTGGTTAAAATCTCAGCACACAAAACGTAGGAAATTATTTTTACAGACATTTTCTTTAAGCATCGAGGAAAATGCACGCATTGAAACATCTGTTCACGCAAATTCAGCATTGAAAACTTACAGAGCCGTTTACCGTCAGCACCTAACCATTCCTAATCTTCCCCAAACACCTGCAATGAAGAAAAATTAGAATTCTGGCATGATATTAAATCTGTTCCTCTTGTTTAAGAATATCAGAATGATTGCTCAAGGCGAGAATGTTTGATGGAAGAAAATCTGTAGCCGCGAGTCAAATTATTTTTTTCAGTAGAAAACTATGCAAATAATAAAAAGCTATTGAAGGATTTAATCAGAGATTCTATTTAATCAAGTTGTTTAACATGTAACTACCATTTTGTTTAAACATAATAAAACCGGGAAAAAAATTCATAGAAATGTTATGCAATTCAAATATTCCTTCTCGGTCGATGTATATTTCATCTAATTTAGCAGCAAGTCGCCAGTTATATTCTTAAAGAATATAATGAACAAATAAATACAATTCAGGCTCCTTCATTTTGATGGGAGAAATGTTTGCCTTTTAAATGGTAATGAAGTTCCCCAAATAAATGGTAATGTGTTAGTGAGAGTTAAAATGTACTATCTCTAGTTTCAAGTACAGTGACATTCCTTTTTAACATAAATGCTGAAGTTACCATACATTTAATGGTATATTTTCTATTTGTCAAATGGAGTGGATATAAATTTTTGTTTTAAATACACTATTTCAAACAGGTTTAAATATATTATTTTCTTCTTTTATGTGTCGTGTTCCCTCAGGACGTAGAGATCATGGCTCTCCACATCTTCCTTTCCTAATAGCTCTTAATTAGTCTCCCAAACCCTGTTCTGCAATCTGTTTGCTCAACTTCATCAAGTATATTACTCACTGTTTTCATGTCTTCCTGTCAATCTGTCCTGTGAGTATCAGTTTTTCTAAGCCTACCATCCTCTTTACGTGAAATTTCTAATGCTACGTTTCTGGTGTTAAATATAAGTTTCCCTTTTGTTTCCATTTTCTTCGAAACGTCTTTGTTGCTCAGATATTCGATGGTATCCTCAACATCTTTCTGTAGAGCCACATTTCTATTCACGTCTCTTCTTCATCTTTCTATCATCTGATATCACGTAACAGTTCAGTATTCTTTTTCTTTGTTTCTAACGATTTTTCTGTCTCTTAATACTCTGCTTAGCTTTTGGAAGGCATCTTTTGGCCAGTCCTATACGTTTTTGGATCCCAGTGTCGCAAATTCTGTCCATTGTTAGAACATTTCCCAGATATTTAAGCTGCTTTACTTGTTTGATTTTAGTATCCCCGATTTGTAATTTGCATTTTACACTCATCCTATTGCTGACCATTCAGAATATGTCTTCATGTTGTATATAGTTAGTCCTTTCTTCTCGCTTTCCTTTGCTGCCTTCTGTAAGAGCTTTTGTAGTTTCCGCCTTAATTGTTCAAGGAAAGCTGTCGTATATCAAGCTTCTGTTCCACCGAATGCTAACAATGTTCCTCAAAGGATGAGACGCTAGTTTTGTTGATGTTGTGGCTCCTTATCCGTATACAGCCACCGAGCAGCTCGTCTATTATTAGACATCATCCAATTAATTTTTATTGATGTTCAGGTGGTGTAATGGTTAGCAGCTCAGAACTAGAAATCGAGGATCTGAGTTCGAATCCCACACGAGTTTATTACACTTTGTGCAAATAGGCTTGGAGAAGATAGGCCTCCAGCTAATAGTAGCGTCGGCGAGGCTCTTCGGCATTAGCTGGCAACCAGTCTAAAAAAAGGAAAGTTTGAATTTAAAACTGGTTAGTTATGGGATTAACAAGTCGATCTTGTAAAAATGTACAGTGAGCCCCCCGTATTCGCGGGGGGTTAGGGACCAGAACCGGCCGCAAATAGTTAGAATCCGCGAAAACTTGTAAACCTCCCTAAAAGTGCTTATATGTACCAATTTTAATTTTAAAAACCCCATATGTTTTAAACGTCCATTCTAAACAATTTAGAAAAATTTCAGACCATTTTAAAAACATATTTGAAACTAGTAATGGTATACGTATTCACACTTAGCGTAAATTTTCTTTCATTCGTATAATAACCGTTTTTAATTACGCATAGATCGATACAACCATTGAAAATATTGTATAAAATATGTGTAACAAGACATAAAATATAAAGTTTAAAACATTTTCTAAAAAGAGAACTGTGATGATGTCCCCAGACTTAGTATAAACCACTTTTAAGACCCCAACCGCAACCCCTAACAAAGAACAAAACCCAAGCACTACGCATATTTTGCGTTTGTTTTGACAAAGAAGATGTATAATTCTTCCAATTTTTAGCATAAAAATGGACTGTTATATATTTTAAGTCACTTAAATAACAGGAAAATAATACAAGAATATTTTTAAAATGTTCTAATGAAAAAATACTCGAATCGAGGGAATTCTCAGCGAATAATTTGTACACATGTTCTTCAGAAAAACACGCGAATATTCGGGGTTTCCGCGAATAACAAGTACATATGTTCTCAAGAAAAATCCGCAAATGTGTGAAGCCGCGAATGCTGAAACGCGAATAGGCGGGGGCAACCACGGCAGCAACGTATAACCTGTTGTGGTACCATACAACTCCATATTATTTCGTTGGAGCCTAAGGAATTTCATAGTGTGAGTCTGAGCATGCTTGATGCACGTGATCAAAAATTTATTATCTTCTTTACATTCAATTCAAATCGCACGACTTCAGATGGACTGACATTGCAGTTTCAAAATGGCGTCACACCTGGCCATCTGCCTCTGAAGACAGTTCGTTATTTCCTCTTTGTCTTTAGCGTTTATTTCACTGTCTTCGAGTTGCTTCATCTCTTCTCCATCGGTGATGAGACTATTCAGAGTTCACTGACATATAGGAGTACTGCTATTGCATAACATTTCAGTAAACCTTTCTTTGTTTACAATGAAATTTTCCTGTTTCATAATAGTTTGCTTAATTTTGGAAGACATTTTTCATTATCCCAATGAGTCTTCGAATTTTGGTGTCGCCTATTAACAAAATTCTAATAGTTTCACAATGATGTGCGGTAAAACTTTCATCTACTTCTTTCCGAGGCTTCATATAAGTTTACTTTTCGTTTTCATTTTCCCCTGAAACTTCATCGTTGCTCATGTGTTCAGCCCATGGTATTCTCATCATCCTTTTGTAGAACCATATTTCTATTACCTTAAGTCTTTTTTCTATCTGTGACATATATGAATACCGATATTACTTAACAGTTCATTATTCTTTTCTTTGTTCCTAATGAAATGATCTCGTTTCTTGATACATTGCTTACCTTTTGGAAGGCATCTTTCACTATCCCGATGCGATTTTGAATTTCTGTGTCGCATTTTCAGTCCTCTGTTTTAAACACTACCATATATTTAATTTTTTTAAAAATTTATTACTTAAATAATTTTAGGGTGTCATATTTGCAATTCGCACGTTGCACTACTTCTTTGACAGACAACTATAGATTTGCGTATATATTTTCTAGGAAAATGTTTATACAGTGTATACAAATCTTCATCGTGTTTAGCTAGGGGAATATTGGACGTGTTTGTAATTTATAGGAAACATTGTTAGAGTTTATAATTTGTAGGCAAATATTAGTAGTGTCGATAAGTAGTAGGCAAACTTTGACCCCGTTTATACATTATAGGCAAACACTTGCCGTGTTTATACATTGTAGGCACACATTGGCCGTGTTTATACATTGTAGGCAAACACTGGCCGTGGTTAATGCATTGTAGGCACACATCGGCCGTGTTTATACATTGTAGGCAAACACTGACCATGTTTATACATTATAGGCAAACACTGGCCGTGTTTATACATTATAGGCAAAAACTAGCCGTGTTTATACATTGTAGGCAAGCATCGGCCGTGTTTATACATTGTAGGCACACATTGCCGTTTTATACATTGTAGGAAAACACTGACCATGTTTATACATTGTAGGCAAACACTGACCATGTTTATACATTGTAGGCAAACACTGGCCGTGTTTATACATTGTAGGCAAACACTGGCCGTGTTTATACATTGTAGGCAAACATTGACCGTGTTTATACATTGTAGGCAAATACTGATCGTGTTTATACATTGTAGCCAAACACTAGCCGTGTTTATACATTACAGGCAAAAACTATCTGTGTTTATACATTGTAGGCAAGCATTGGCCGTATTTATATATTGTATGTAAACACTGACCATGTTTATACATTGTAGGCAAACACTGGTGGTGTTTTATACATTGTAGGCAAGCATTGGCCGTGTTTATACATTGTAGGCAAACACTAGCCGCTTTTATACATTCATTGTAGGCAAACACTCACAGTTTTTATGCATTTTAGGCAAACACTGGCCGTGTTTATACATTGTTGGCAAACACTGGTCGT